TCTCCTTTTCATGGCCGCATTTTCGGCAACATGGGCTGAGCTCTTCATTTACAAAGTTCTTATACCATCTTAAACTCCAATGATGGTCCGATCGCAGTCTCGCTAGCTCAACCTGGTCCCAGCAACATGTGATAGATTTTTGTTCCCGCTTATAGGAGTACCCAGAATACTTCCAGGTGCTGGTACTTAGTTCTACATGGTGGGTCTCTGATTTCTCTCTTGATTATTGGAAAGACTCCTCTGTATGTCGCTGGTCGTCTGTCTCCTTCGATCTCTCTGGCTTCATTAGCAGCTTGGTCTGCTGCCTCACTTCCTTCTATTCCAACATGGCTTGGAATCCACTGAATTTTTATTGTGACTCTGGCTTCACTGAACTTGCGGCGCAAATCATTCATGTCCGAGCTGCTGCCCAGCAGCCCCTTGCAGAGGGACTGACTGTCAGTCAAGATCAGCACATTGGTGGCAATTGTCGGCAATGCATTGTGCAGCAGACATCATTGCCTGGCATTCCTCGTCATAAGATGATGTAAGGAATGCACCTTTAGTTTTAATAATTTTTGTTCGTGGTGGTTCATCATTTATTATCACTACTGCTGCTGCTCCACCTTCGCGGTATCCTGCGATTGCCGATCCATCGGTGAAAATTGTCACATCCGCACCAACCTCTTTGATCACTTCCTCAGCTGCTTCACGTGCCTTTACAGGATCATCACCTTTTTCTTTTACTCCTCTCAGTTCTGTCCGAATTTCGATTTCGCCATGGGTCTCCCATGGTCAAGTTCTCGCCAGATTGATCGGCCATCGATTCTCTGCTTCAGGGGGGAGATGGTCGGCTAGATCGGTGCCCATCCGAAACCAACTTTTCCTGCGGTTTTTAGGCTTGACTGCTTGATCAAGGGCTTTCTTTCTAGGATGGTTGTCTGGTAATCTCTTAGCCATCTCTATAGACTTGAGGCATGATGATGCTGCTGCTGCTGCTGATGACGATGATAAGGAGGAGGAGGTGGAAGAGGAGGAGGAGGAAGAAGAAGAAAAGTATTAGGAAGAGGAGGAGGAGGAGGAGGAGGAGGAAGATTACTTAACGGAAAGCGATGTAGATATATTTATGCACATGAAGTTGGAATCCCCCTGACATAGCTATAGCCATTTACGTGGCCTTTTGAGACTGTGTGTTTGCAATTACCGAAACGATATAAAGGAAATTGTATCAAAAGTGTAGTTTGATACTGATAGAAATTCATATTTAAAATATTTCAAAAATCTGAATGTATTGTCATAAAATATATTGATAATAAATGTATAATAGCTTATTGAAAAAACATGTGACAAAAAAATATATTTTACAACGATGTGGTGTTTTTGACAATTAGAATAACACATTGTACTTTCAATATGGCAGGCATGCAATTTGAGTACGATGAAGAAGGAGGAACGTTCTTTTATTTTCTCATATCATTCTGGGCTTTGATACTGATCCCATCCACATATTTTTTGTGGCCGTCAACAGAGAAAAAAGGTATTGTATAGCAGTATTTCTTGGTAATCTATATTATGATTTTTTCTTGGCAAGCAAACATTCGACTCCAGTCAGCCTCTCTCCGCCTCAACAAGCTGCTGTAGTGCTGTAGTCTACTGTAGTAGCCTCGATTAACAATTGTTGGTTAGACTTTAATCTCTAGATCTAGAGCAGCTACATTTTCATAATTTTGTAATACTTGGAGTCAGAGACCAGCATTGGTATGATTCAGGATCAGTTTAGGTTTGGTAGGCAGGCCTGGGCTAGCCAAATTGAGGGTGAAAAGCGACAACAGGCTACAGCTACAGCGGATAGTATAGTTAGAGATTAGAGAACGTCAGATGTACGCCATTGGCCGATATTTATAGTAACAGCAATCTTGTTTGTGTTATGAAATAGTGTTCTTCATTTTGACGAAAGACAAGATAAGTTCCAGACCTCCTTGATCTAGATATCTAGATCTAGATCTAGATCTAGATTCTATTGTCTCACTGATCTGAAAAAGAAAGGAAGTTGTCGTCGTGCCTAACACTGAATTGTTAGGGGCACGTATTTTCAAAGTCAAGGTCGTTCAGCATTCCCCGATCCCCGATTCATTTCACCAGCATGTTTGAGAAGGTACAAAGAGATTGAGACTCGTGAAAATATGGATGATACTTTGAGATCCAGACCGTTGAAATCAGTACACATCTGATTTGGACATTGACGACAGTGAATGAATATTATATTTTGGACTGCTTCAAGCGTTCCATCCCATGAGATTGAAGGAAAAGGAAGAGTGCTTACAAAATTAAAGTTGGGATATGAGAATATTATTATGGAAAATTCGGAAGGATTTCCGTAACGAGCGACCACCCCATCAAACACAGTAAAGAAGAGGCCTAGACCTAACCCTACCCCTAACCCTACCCCTACCCCTACCCCTACC